GGACCGTCTTGCACCCTGACGACGTGCAACTCGACCCAGGGGTTGACTCTGACTATCATGTTCGCCAAGATAGTACCATGACCAGTACTGGAGCAATGCCAAGGTCCACCAGGGAAGTAACTGACTCCACTACTTGTGACGCTGCCATTGTAATCGTCGAGGTTACCAAGATTGATCCCATCGTCAATGAGGGCGAGCTGGGGCGACGTGTTAACTATTGAAAACGTAGGATACTGTCGAAGAAACGTTACCTTCACTCTTGGAGCTTTGCTGCCCTTCAGATCTGGGAGTGAGCTCAAAGCTCTTCGGAATACGTCCATTGTGTCGACCCAGACGTGCTGCTTTTCAGCTGCCTCGTCGCTAACGGGACCCGATGCATCTTCAACAGTGTCCATGCTCGCCATTAGCCCTTCCATCCGAATGACGGTTCTCACCGCAACACCGCCGTCTGTCTTCCTCTGGACCTCTTGTTTGAATCGATTCAGCATGGCAAGCATTCTGTCTCGAGTTTCGAGCCCCTGGTAAGTTGCTTGTTAGAAAGGCAGAATAGTACAAGCCTTGAGAATGAGACTCACTGGTGCTGCGTGCACAGTGACTCTCTTGAGCCTCCGTTCCGTTGTAACATACAGTCGAGGAATGCCTTCGTCGCAGTCCCAGGCTCTGAGCACAGCCTGATTGCCGCTCCAGTAGAGATGCACATTCTCAACGGTAGGCGCAGCAAAGGCAATGACTTCAGTGCTCAAGTCAGGCTTCCGCCAGTCCCTTTATGCATTGTTAGAGTTACAGTACTCATGATAAATGGTCATAAATGACACCTACCATGTCTCAACAGCTATAGGCTCCCGTCCTCCCGTTCCGCCCTCATTAAGAAAGGACTCTCGACCTTGTAACGCAATCTCTATGGAGGCATCCGTATGAGAGGGCGAGTGTCTATCTTCGACGTGTAGGCGTAAGATCTTCTTGACCTTCAGCTCATGCAGCTTGTCGAAAACTTTGACGAGCTCAGTACGACCGGGCGACGGGTTTTCAGTCAGGGAACCTCTTTGAGCTGCGTTCGCGTTTCGGCCTGATGACGTATTAATCGAGCTGTGACTGACTGTTGGGAGATGAACGTAGGCGAGAGTGTCGTTGAAGCCACCGGCGGACATGCGGCTTAAAAGATGAACTATGCTCTTCGCACCCTTTTGTCCCTTTGCATCGAAGCATAGGTTCTTGTCGAGGTCTTAAGCGAGTTCAAAGTCAGCAACCTGCCCAATGGAACTCTGAGAAGTTTACCAACCTGAAATATTGCCTCTAAATATCAGATCTCGGGCTTCCATATCTGACCGCGTTCGGATGTAATGTGTGGTAATGAATTCGTTCAGCCCGCTCCAGCCCCTGAGTTTGGCCTCGAAAGCGGACATATTGATCGTATTCTCAGTCCCCGTGTCCCTCAGTCTTTTCATATTCGCGCGAGATCGACCGTCCGTTGGAGTCGAGAACTGAAGACCAGTTGGGGGTTGGGGGCGGTCTGACGCATGCCCAGCTGTATTGGATCTGCTGATGCTGGGCTGTATCGAAGCTGTTCCGGCCTTTGGGCCCTTCATCATTGGTTCCTTGACGATAACATCGGATGTTGCAGTAGTTCTACCCAAAGGGAGTGATGGCATTTTAACAATGCCTACCATTGCTGGATCCCTACTGGTCGGATTGACGTACATATCCGCCGGGGGAGGTCCCATGGGTTGCTTAGGGCGACTGTCTAGAGGTGTTGTTTCTGGTCCCGGCGGTGTCGCCGCATTCTCGAAATTCATTAACCCCTTTGACCGAAGCGCAGTGATTTGCGCCTCCTTTTTCGCTATTTTCCTCGCTGAGTAGTCCCTTTGGAACCTTTGATGGATCTTTCGGCCAAACATAACGGGAGACTCGCCTTTTTCGTTGAACAGCGGGCGCTGCTCCTTCTTGATGACAGCATCTCCGGCCTCAAACATTGCCTTCACCGCTTTGAAGTATTCATCGGATCGGTCCAAACACATCCGGCAGTCCATTGCGTAATGGACAGGCGTATTTCCGATATTATCTGCTGTAGCAATAGTCTGTGGTTTAGCTTTTGAAGACAAGCGTGGGACAAGAAGGGCCTTCTTGTCGCGGATGGCCTTCGTTGAATCCCACGTGAAGAGATGGTGTAGCAGATTCTTGCCCTCCCCGTCTTGAACATGTAGTAGATCTGAGAACTTGTCTCCCAGACATCGCTCAACGCAGTTCATGAAGTCGTCGTTGTTGTAGTTGATGGCCACCAGAAGAAAAAGATCTTCTTTCCCTCGGTGCTGAGGCCCCAGCTCATCGCATGTCCCACCTCGGGTTTCTAAAAGATAGCCAACGAGATTGGTCTGAAGGTTCTTAGGAGCCCTGGAGAAGCCTCTCTTGCTTTTAGCGAGAATATGCAGTGCTGTGGGTGCAACACGATCTCGGTAATCCCTCCTCGACGCAATTGTCTTCTTCTTGTAGTCCTCGAGAAGCGGTGTCTCCTCGTCGCCTTCTGTATTGTCCCATCGTCTTTTCTTGTCGATCAAAAGATCCAATACATCTAGACATTGAAGATCCAACTCCAGGCTCTTCCATTCTTTTTCCACATCACTCTCTTCATATATTCCTTTGGTACTGTCAAGTGCATGACTTTGAACTTGGAAGGCATCCAACTCGTCGAATTCGTCGTCCGTAAAATCGAATTCCATACCTATATCATTCTTCACGTTACAACATGTACAGATGAAGCTTCGATGGTGAAACTCACTTGGTCGGGCCAACTAGACTAAAAGTGATGCGACGGACTTGCGACTAGGATAGAGAGTGTCTGGCGCCAAAATCCCAAATCGTGCTGCACATGACACGAGCGGCTCGTTGAGAGATGTCAAGCTCACATAAAACGTAGCCCCGCTCGCGAAAATTCAAAGTTCTGACCAGCTTCTGTCTGCACAAACATGCAAGAATTTCTAATTTGATCTAGGATGATACGTATGTATTGTGCTGGAGCCCTGGTGCAGAAAGATCGGCTTAGACAGGGCATGTATTCACGGCCGAGAACAACACGACTTGCAGGGCCATCTCCATAACTCTTGCTGAACAGCCTATCAAATGTGACATGACGAATTTGAGTTTCGGTTTGATTGCCATTTGTATCTGACCACCGCACCACCAGGGCCTATGCAGTGGCCGTCACTCGTTCGGCCGTACCAACCAACACGCAAGTGACAAATGACACCAACACGTCTGAATTTGGAACTCAGTTCTATTCTTATCACGACTCAGCCACTAGAACCTCGACAACTGTTGTCACCTTTTCAGCTCTCCCCTCGACTAGCGACTGGGACCTTGATGCCTTGACTGCTTCCTCAAATGTGCTGTGAAATGTACAGTCCCACAAACTGGATAAGTCCACCTGATCTAGGTTCCAACGCTTCTGCGCAAGGTCGTTTGCTAGGGCGTTAAGAGGCTCGCTGGCTGGCGCGAGTATGATTGGGTCATCGCTTCTTCTGAAAGCCATGAGGGAGCCTAATTTGGTCTTCAGGTCAGGTGTCACCTGGACATCAGGCAACAACTCGATGTCTTCCTCTGTGTCCCTGGTCAGAAGAACACAAGCTCGAAAAAGCGTCATGATCCCGTTCTGCTGAGACTCGTTCTCTTGCAGAGACCATTGCGCGAGGGGATAGTTGCTCCACTCGTCGCAGGGGTTGTTTCCCACAACCTTGGCCGCATGCGTAGTCACCTTCTCGACGGACCTCTCGGCACGCAGGTTGGTGTTGACATTCACAACAGCGCCTCCCGAAGCCCCGCCCTCCCCTCCCACTGTCTTGGTCACCGTTTCTGTGGTCTGCATCATGACGTGTTTTCCAAAAGGCGCCACTTTGGTGACTGTCGGGCCTATGCTGGCGCTGCCTTTCTTTGCCCGGAACTCGAACGATATGTTCGCCTCCTTGATACGGGTCGATCGGTGCGAGAAGAACGAAAAGTCGTACACCAGCAGTGTTGCTGGTGTGTGGGAGTCTTGGTCTAAAGTGCCGCGAATGATAGCTTTGGCGATGGCACCAACGTTGAAAGCTGGCTTTCTCCTGGAACCCAAGTGGAATTGAGTTGCTACAGTGCGCTGCTTTTCGCCATGTCTGTTTCGGACATGGAATCCTGCGTTCTATCAGAATAAAGTAATCTTCGGTGCGGGTTGTACTCGATTTACCTCCTGACTGACCTTGCGGTCTCATATCCAATGTAAAGGAGGTAGCATCTCCAAAAATCGACTCATAGTCCTCGATCTCGGCCGAGTCTGAGTCAGTACTCATCCAGAGCTCAGAATCGTCAATTTCGGTCATTTTTGAGTTACCTAAGTTGACGTTATCGTTGGTGTCGCAAGGTAACGAAACCGCAAGATGAAAACAACTTTCCCACTAAGGTCTCGAATATTACGGCAATGCACAGCTCATTTAACCTGATGAGTGCAAATAATGACGAGATAATCTACTCCGCATTTAGCGACGGGACAAATTCCCAGCGAAATTTTCTATTTTCGTCATCTCTGGAGCCCGTTGGCGCTAGTGTTGGTCCTTCATGCATGGCGTGACGTTGTGACTTGGAGTGGCCTGCATGCTTGTAACAGCGTGAGTACAGCCCTCCTACAGGGGCTTTGCCTTGCTGCCTGTTGGCAGAAAGACACATCATCTGCTGCAGAGGTGTTTTGGCTGATAACGGGACTAGCAGTAATTTTGGGGCTTTCTGCTTTGATCTCGAGGGCCCAGTGTTTGCGAACTCACGCTGTCACACTTCCGTCTGTAGTCGGTTGAACGCCATCTGCCTTTGCAGACTCAGGTATGTAATAGCAAGATTCTCTTCGTTTCCCAAGCTTACTGCTGTTTTCATACATTGAACGATTGTACACTTTTGATCAGCTCCTATCTAGCATGACGGGGCAGGCCCTAGCACATGTGTTTGAAAGAATTACCTGGGATCAGTCGTCAGAAAACAGTGCCGCCATGACTGTTGAAGGTGTACCACCCCCAGCACGGCATACTTCAGAAACGGAACCAAAGACCCATCCCGAAAAAGAGAATAACGCCGACGAGGATGATGTTGCATTGTCATACCTGTATTTGAAGAGCAGCCACTCACCCAGGGAGAGTGAGGGTGACTCCAACATCATCAAGTACGCCGCGTCGAAACACATGAAATGCGAGGTGGCCAGAACTGACGCATTCTTTATTCACAGTATCGTACATGTCGCATGCTTCCGGCCTCAGGTTCAGATGTTCAGCCGTGAGCACCTGCTCTCTGACAAGCTCAATGGGATTGAGACCAGAGAACTCGTGTTTCAAGTAGGGATCAATGACCTTCTTGTCGGGGAGATGGTACAGGAATGCGTAGAGGATCAAGCCAAGTGCCTCCTCCGCGGGCTCCTGGCAATAAGGGCTAGTACCTCAGTAAGTCAAGTAAATCACCTAAGCGTCGCGCTTAATATTGATTAACTCTTCATTAAGAACAAGAGCCCAACGATAATCTTTGTAGCGTATGATCTAGGATCTGTCGTTGTTAAGACGGTAAGTTGGGCCTGCACATAAACCCACATTTCAGTGGTAGTTACTCACACTAGGCATCTTACTGGAATGACAGGCTCTCTACTTGGCAGCCAGCTTTCCAAGCGTGTACCCGGATATTTTCTTTGATACCAGAAGAATAGTAAGGACAGAGTCTAGGATGATTTGATTCCATGTGAAGGCTAACGAAGTTAAGGTATTTTCAGGATGTCCACAACGTGGGGTGAATGAAAGCGATTTGGCGGCCAAGCTCGCCCATTATCTGGTTGATCAAAGCATCGAAAAAGCCATGTTCAGCATCATTTCCATGTCTATACGCAGTCTTGCAGCTTGCGTCTTTTGGACAAATCAGCTGTTCTTGATGTCCAAAATCAGTCTTCGCTGCCTCATCATCAGCCTACATGCCCCCAGCGAGAAACAGGAGACATTGCATCATGTGAGACAGGAGGTTTTGGACCATATCTCAATAGCCAGCGATGCTGACAAGTGAAGTAGACTCTGGATGAATTCACTGCGACTATGGGACTGCCATCTGAAGTTATCATCCAAGAAACAGTCAGAGTGCTATCAAAGAAAGAACTACCCATGGAGTGGAGGTTCTGCAACCTATCTGAATTGATTTCCAAGCGTTTCTCAGGTAAGTCTGTTCACTACAGTAAGAAGAATTTTGCAAAGTATCAATGAACTAATTCATGTCAGTCTCTCCGTTGCCTGCCACATGGGCTGCCACAGAGAAAGCTCTCCTTTCTATTTCTGCCCACCCGCGCCAGCTGCGGTCCAGGAGCCATGATGAAGACAATCATGGGCTAGGACTGAAAATTGAGTCAAGCCCTTTCTACCGAGAATGGAAAAGCTTTATTGGGAGCAAGATTATCTACGTTCACGGTTACTCAACTGCAACGACTCACGACGTGGCCAACTATATCTTTGATTCACATGTAGAGGCTCTAAGAGACAGCGAGACCTTTTCTCCGAATCGGGCCTACATGCATACATTTGACTCGCGAGATCCTCTTCATGACTCAATTCCAAGCATGGTTGCTGGCATGCTACTTCAATCTGTCGTCAGCCGAGGGTGTCGAAGGGACGAGTGTCAACAGCTGCAAGAACCATTTCTTATGCGTGAGCAGCCCCAATCAAAGTACTTCATATGAATTATTGAGAATGCTAACTAATTGATGCAACAGAGGCTGGTTGGGGAGACACCTCATGTCAAGTGGCCTTGGAAACACTTAAGATGACATGCCTCTGTCAAGGATTAGTCTTACTTATTCATGACTTTGATGAGTGCAACTTGGATAGTAGAAGGAGATTCCTCGAATACTATCGAGACATGATCGGAAAGACCGAGCATGAACTGAAGCTGATAATCACTTCTAGAAAGCCTGATATTCTGTTGTCAGAGCTTGCAGCATGGCCTAAGCTGAATGTGGATGAGCTCCCTTCGAAAGCTATCACCCCAATCATCAGAACCGTCCAGAAATCCGATCCGTCGAGTAGAATTTCAAACATGGAAGATGCGGTATGGAAGCAACTTCATCGTCTTCGTGCTCATCACGCAAACTCAACGCTTCAGATGATCCTTGAAATCGTCCGAAACTACACGGGCTGGCCCGAAGTCCAGTCTAGAGCATCTCTTACGGAAGCCTCTCGACTTTTACGATCTGTGTCTCCTACCGAAACCACCAGGACATTTCTACACAGATTGCTGAAATTACACGATCACCCAGACGATATCAAGTGGGTCATGAGCTGGTTACTTTGCACTTATCGACCTCTGAACGTTCAAGAGTTTGCATTTGTCTGCAACAGGAGACGCCCTTACGAGCCAAGCGATGAACAGGATATCGGCTTACAGTGGGTTTCGGTTGGTCTGACCTCACGCCTACCAACGTGGCTGAACTCCGTGCTTCATGTCCTCGTTGACACAGAGAAGGAGCCGGTGGAGATCCGTGGTGATGTCCGGAACCTTTTGGAGCACGACCCCGGAACCGAGGAATACATATGGGACGAGGTCAGATCGACAGCACATTATACTCTGTTCGAGTTCTGTGCCAACTATGTCACAGCAAAGCACACTGTTGAGAAGCTGGAAGTCGTGTTCAATAACTATAACACACTGTGGCAAAACAGCCAGCAGGGAAAGAAACCCACTGCTCCCTTGGACTGCGACAACAATGACATCGTCTACTACGCCATACAGGCACTGCCTTATCATATGTCCAAGTTGAGCGACTCTGCCACGGCATTGAAAAGATTTTGCGCTCACGGGGGAGGGAGAGCTTCGACGGTATGGGCAAAGTTGTACTGGGCAATGAGCAGCTTGCGAACTAGCAACTTACCAGCATCGGCACAAGGGGTTTTGGGTGGCCTTGGATTGACTCCTTTGGTGGAGGTGAGGGAAGAAGCAATTGAAGTGAGGACAGAATACGCTCTTATGAAAATTCTCCAAGGCAGAGGGGGCGAGACATGGTTGCTCCTTGATGAAGGGCAGTCCTCGCTCTTTGCCTTGGAAGATATTCTCGCCACTTCCATTCAAGCCGGTGAGGAAGAAACAGCCCGAAAAGCAGCAAAAAGCATAACATCAGACCCCAATTGGAGGACTAAAGCCTTCTCGTCGATGGAAAAGGCAATCTGGGCAGCAACGTGGCTAGGAATGTCAGCCCTCGTGGATGATCTATTGCACGCTGGAATTAGCCCGAACTTGACTTCGATGCCCCATAAGGCTGCAGACAGCACTTTGCGGCATTCTAGTCTCATCTCTATGGCCACGAGTCGTGGTCATATAGATGTTGTCCGGTCTCTCATGAACCATGGAGCGAAGATAGACGTCATTGGGCCAGGTCAAGAAGACAATCTCCTTGCCGCTGCGTTCTCCGGGCATCTTGACTTGATCCGGCTTTTCTCCAGTCCTGTTGACTCTCTTACGATGCTGCATCGCAAAAGTTCTGGTCTTTTCGTTGCAGCTGAAAGGGGACATTGGCGGGCGGTGAGCCTGCTGATTCAACTTGGCGCAGATCCCAATTCATCCCGTGGCTCGCCCTCCGACGACTACCGCGAATGGAGTCCTCTCGCGATAGCATGCAGAAACCAGTGGCCAAAGACAATGGAGGCGCTCTTGCAAGGAGGCGCTGACCCAAACATTCTGGGGCCGTATGGTGTGGATACGCCGCTTTGGTTTTGCGCCGTCGATGAGCCCAACCTCAGATGTGTTTGTTGTCTGGTACAATTCGGAGCGGATCCCAACCATGAGAATTTCTCTCCGCCGTTACCACATGAGATGGCAAAGTCTGCACACAAGGTCAACACTATTATCGAGATTTGCGACATACTCCTTTCAGGAAAGGGATCTATCAACATCAATGCAGCAGCCGGTGACGGCGAAACTGCTCTCATGCAAGCATGCCGTACGGACAAATTGCCCCTCGTTCGCTGGCTGCTTGAAAGAAACGTCAACATTAATGCTGTCAACGATTCAGGACAAGATGCCATGAAATGTGCCATCTGGCATGGCCGACTGGACATCGTGGCAGAACTCCTCAAGCACAATCCTGAGGGGTGTCAACTTGTCCCGGCTGCTACCGAGGACCCCGTTAACACGTTTGGACCCTTCACGTATCTCACTCTGGCTGCGCACAGTGGAAGAACTGAAATAGTTGAGCTACTGATGTCAAACGGGCTTGATGTGAACCAGTTCGATGGCTGGCAAATGCCGCCTGTCCGTTACGCGATCGACAGATCCAAATTGGTCACTGACACGAGGCTATTTCGACAGCTCATCGAAAATGGAGCCAAGCTGGGCGATGTCGTGCACGGGGAAGGTCTCTTGCACCGCGCTATCGACGCACCTCTGCATTATCTGAAAGTTCTCCTGGAATTCCGAAGAGACATCGAAATTGACGTTCTTGATTTCTCGAAGGCCACGGCCTTCCACTATGCCTCATCTTGCTCGCGGATGGATCATATGCAGATACTCACCAGAGCAGGCGCCGATATCAACATCGCAAATGGTCAAGGATATACAGCATTGCATGATGCTGCGTACAGGAACGACCTTGACGTCACTTCGTTTGTTCTTGCGCAGCCAGAAGTAAAAGTCAACATCGCCGCGCCGAATTACGGTACTGCGCTTCATATGGCTTGCAAGAAGTTAAACGTTGAGGTCATACGCAGTCTCATATCTCACGGGGCAGACACCAACGCTATTTCTTTCAATTACGCCAATGGCACGCCGCTGATGTCGGCTATGCTATCCAACGAGGATGCAGTCCGCGACAGGGACGCCCAAAAGATGGACATGGTAGTCCGCATGCTTGTTTCTAACAAAGCCGATATTCAACAGACTTTGTGCGGCTCTGCTTTCACATTTGATACAGCATTCCAGGGTGCATGTTTCAACGCTGGTGTTGCTACAATCAATTTCCTTCTCGATGAAGGAGCGTCTGTCCAGCATTGCGATTCCTTAGGGCGATTGCCTCTCCACTTTGCCGCCGCAAACGGCATTGAAAACTTTCTAGCCGTTATGCTGACCTATAGGGGCGACATAATGGCCCCGGATAAGGAAGGAAAGACTTGCTTGCACTGGGCAGCACAATTTGGAAATTCGCAGACAGTCAAGTTCATCATAGATCGTCTCCATGATGCAGATGTAGACTGCAAAGATAGCGATGGATGGACTCCACTCTGCTGGGCAGCGCGCGGGTCGAATCCTGGAGACTTTGGCAAGATGAGATCAGAAAAGCCAGACTTCCTGAACGTCATTCGCACGCTTCTCCAACACGGCGCGAGCCCTGAGACAGTATGCAGCCTCTCTGACGACGAAGGCACTGGCACTATCCACAAGACACCACTGGATTTGGCCCGGCTGTGTGGTTCGGGCGTCGAAATAACTAGCGCACTGGAACCCAAAGTTTGCAGTTCAGGCAACGATATTGCATCATCAAATTGCCGATACGTCCTACAAAGACAAATTTGCCACGCGTGTTTGGTGGTAATGTAGCCCAAGATTGCTTCCCTCTACTGCGTATCTAACAAGCCTCCAGACGATCACAGGCCCGTTATTTGGATGCAAAACTTGCAACGCCCTCGCCTTTTGTAACAAATGTGTCCAGCACTTCGAAACATACCACTCAAATGAAAAGCAACAGGATGGAAAGTTGCATGTTGTTAAGAAGAGTAACGTCGACATTTACAAGAATGCAATGCTCGGTGTTGATCTGAATGCGGACCATGTGGCGAAGACATCAGCGCAAGAAGGACTGAGAGAACCATTAGAAAATGGGGGAGTGAGTGAAGAATATGATTCAAGTCTTGATCTGGACTTCGACTTGGATGAATTGGGCGAAGCTCTTTCATGAGCGTCCTCGACGATCAATCAGGTTCAGTCCTCATAGAATTCTAGATCAACCATGAATACTTACGGCCCTTCATTCGGTTCCAAAATCTTGATGTTCTGTACTACAGTACCAAGGCAGTTTGTCGGGATATGGTTTCCGATCAGCTTACACTCGCGGACAATAACATGCATGTGAGCATAACAGTAGCCTTCGCTACAAGGTAGGTATGTTGTCCATAACGAGCAAGATTTGTCCAGTTGATTTGCCTAATCCTTTGCCACGAATCGAGCTTGCGGGACGAGAGGGAATCCACACATACCTCCGTCGGAATTGAAATACATCCTCAAAGGCTCGAGTGGAAGTCTTCTCATATACGACAGACGCTAGAGGTTGAAATTCGCTGTGAGGTACCTTTACGCTATCGCAGGCTATCACCTGAAGTGGAGACAAGGGTTGTAATGTGGAAACAACTATGGATCACAAGAGAAGGCCAGCAAGTGGAAACTGTCAAATATGAAATGCAGGCGGGTTCCATAGATTCACGGTGTCGCGGAGATTTCAACGCCTTAGTAGTGTTAAAAAAAATGATAAAAAAAGATGAAAAATTAGAAATTGTTTCTGCTTTGAGCCCGTAATAAAACTCCGAGGTTTTGTAAGCGGATGCTAGAAAACGCTCACGCGTGGAACTGCATGTACAATACTAATAAGCTGCTGGTGCTGCTGGGGCCACAAGTGTTGGGGAACCGCACACTGCGGGCTCCTTTCCTGAAGAGTCAAAGTCATAACACCAAAAAGGTTTATGGGAAACGCTGCAATGGAATCACAAGCGCTAAAATTTGGGCAAACGGGCGCCAACTCGAGCTTGTCGTCCAAGACCTAATCGACGAATGAGCGTATGCTTCCACATTAGTGACCAATGATGGTAGCCTGAAAGACAAAATTGGCAGCTCTTGAAGACTCGAATGCCCACGATTTCTCAAAACCGCTGCAAAAGCAACTCGTCGACGCAGGGTAGTGGGTGGCCTCGGTTACAACTTCCCCACCTCACTGACTCTCCTGGGAGGCTCCATCTTCATCTTATCAGATCCGCTCCCGCATGGCGCCAAGCAAAAGGCAAAATTTTATCTGATCCGTTGCCAACCGCTTGTGCCAAGTCGGCGCGATGCGATGAGGAAGAGGGTCCCAGGCGACACCATGGTGGAAGTTTGTTGGTCAGACTGGTGATCTACACGCCCGCGCGGGCTACCCTTCGGCGCGGAATTCCTGCAGTCTATGGTAATACGACGTTGGGTTTCCACCTTTCACTGACGAGCTCCCCTTTTTGGAAATCTTGGACGATTCTCACGGCGAAGAGTTCGCCCGACTAGCCAACAGAACAGCGTTGCCAAGTAGTGTTTAGTGGACCTGTCTCGTGCAAAGTCGGAACTGACACAAGTTTGTTGGTGACAACAAGACCGCCCAGCCCTGGCTAGATGAAGTCGTTGAACAATTTTCTCTGCTGTGCCACTGATTTATCCCTGTGGCTCGTCCGATGCCGGCTAGATGGAGCTGGTCAGTCCAGAACCTCGCGCGGTCTTTCTCGTTCGGCTCACATATTCCGTGACATATTGGCGTGGTTGAGGAACGTTACGTAAAACATGCATGAACCTTCGTATAAGCTTCTTTTTGGACGAAAATTGGGCCGTAGCCTTACCTTGTGGATGCTTACATATAGATAGTGCTCTTTCGTCCATGATTCCCTGGGTTCTGTCCTATGGATCACCGTTCATCCTAAGCTCCCAAGCCGAGACCCTTCTCTTGGCGCCAGCCTCAGCTGCCCGTCACCATGAGCGCGCCCGCAGTCCAGTCAGCTCCGGCTGAGAACCACAGCCAAAGCCAGAGCCTTGACGAGAAGAGCCCTGGCAAAACAACAACCGAGATCAGCGCCGAGACCTCTGACGCTGAAGATGAGAAAACGGAGCCCCAGAATGGTGTCAAGAAGATCCAGGCCATTACTTCCGCATGGTCGTGGAGAGCCCTGATTCTCACTTATGTCTTGTGTGTTTTCTCAAACTATTCTGCCAATGCAATGGACACCACTAACACCATGACTTGATTGTAGCATCTGGATCACCTCCTACACACATTCCATGCAGCAACAGATGAACAGCAATCTTGCCCCCTATGTAACATCATCGTTCCAACGTCATGGTCTCACTGCCACCACGGGTATCGTCGCCTCAATAGCTGGCGGTGTTTCTCAATTGCCATTCGCCAAGATTCTCAACGTCTTTGGTCGCATGGAGGCCTACATTCTGGCCCATGCTCTTTGCTGCTTTGGTCTGATTCTGATGGCCGTTTGCCGCAACGTCGAGACGTATGCCGCTGCGCAGGTAAGATGCACTTGTCCCCAGCTTTCAATTGCCTCCAGTACTGGGCTAATATCTTCAAGGTCTTTTGGACCGTTGGAAGTGGAGGCATTGGCTACATCCACACTGTCATCATCTCTGATACAACTTCCATCCGTAACCGTATGATCATCTACACCCTCAACTCGACCGCCTACATTGCGAACGCGTTCGCTGGTCCCGTCGTTGCTCAGCTGTTTGTCGAGAAAAGCAGCTTTCGCTGGGCGTTCGGAGCCTTCGCCATCATCTTCCCCGCCTTCGGAATGCTCATCACTGGCATGCTTTGGTGGAATCTGCGCAAGGCCTACAAGATCGGCAAAGGTCCTGAGTTGACAAAGAGCGGCCGCAGCATTCAAGAGTCGTTGGTGTTCTATTTCAAGGAGTTTGACGGTTAGTACCCATTATTCATGCAATGTTAATGTTGATGCTTACTGGAGACCAGTCGTGGGCATGCTGCTGATCATGTTTGGTTTCTCTCTTTTCCTGCTGCCTTTCAGTTTGGTTCGATATGCCGCCAAGGGCTGGGTCTCTGGCCACATTATTGCCATGATAATTCTGGGAGTCTTTTGCCTAGTTCTCTTCGGACTCTGGGAGAGAATGTACGCCGATACACCTCTGGTCCCCTGGAAGAACCTCAAGGATCGAACCATTCTGGGCTCTGCCGCCACTGCTGGTGTCATTGCTCTGAGCTTCAGTTCTTGGGAGTCTTACTTCTCATCTTACCTCCAGGTTGTTCACAACCAGAGTATCAGCCAGGCAGGTTTTATCGGCAACATCTACACCATTGCTTCCTGCACGTGGGGACCCATCGTGGGACTGTAAGTTGCTTCACAACTCCCGTCGAAGAGCACAAATCTGACACCCACTAGCCTCATACGCCAGACCAACCACTACAAGTGGATAGCCATGGCTGCCATTCCCGTTGCCTGCCTTTCCACCGGTCTTCTTATCCACTTCCGCACCCCGGATACCTACATTGGCTACGTTATCATGTGCCAAATCCTGAAGGCTGTCTCTGCTGGAACCATCATCATCTGCGAACAACTCGCGGTTATGTCCGTGGTCAAGCACAACGAGATTTCTGTGATGCTGGCCTTGATCGGCCTCGCTACTTCAGTAGGTCGCTCTATTGGACGTGCTATTTCTGGCGCCATCTGGACCAATGAATTCTTGGACAAGCTTATCAAGTTCTTGCCTGATGATGCTAAGAGCGACGCTGTCCCAATCTACGGAGATATCAAAGTTCAGCTTTCATATGGTTGGGGAAGCCCAATTAGGGCTGGAATTATCCAGGCTTATGGAGCTGTTCAGAGACACATGGTTATCTGTGGTGCAGCATTCATGCCGTTGGCGCTGGCTTGCGTGTTTTTGTGGAAGAATGTCAACGTGTCCAAGGTGCACCAGACGAAGGGTCAGGTTTTCTAAGAGACTTAATATGCTACCGTTGAACGAGAAACTATAGCCTGTTCTATTCTTGGAAATGAAAGTTATGATGCGAAAAACTGCAACTCTCATAAGTGACCACCGGTGTGAAATCCTACTACATGATTGTGTTGAATGGAAGCAACAGGCTAACTTTTATAGCTTCAAGTGCAATCTGTCAGTAGGCCTTGAGTGGTGATTGATCAGAAGTCCCTTGAAATAAAATCTCTCACGACTCTGTCACCGTTTCTCGAAAGAATACCACTTGGGCTCCAGAAGCTCCTGGCTAACTCTTCCGTTCCAATTTGAGGGAAGGAGGCAATTATGGGAGGTGTCCTCTCTGTGGAACCTTTTGATATCCTTGCAAATCTTATGAAAGACTTTCGTTTGAAGAAGTGAGAGGCCGATTGCTTTTCTGAGAGCAATTTTAATAGGGCCTCCTCATTTTTAGGGTTGTGGATCTTAACCAGCTGATCTATACCAATGTGATGTCTGGATATTATGTCAGTTTCGTCGTATATCCAGCGATTGCGCGATTCTTTGGTCCTAATATCAACAAGAACTCTTAGCGATGGATCAGCTCCGGCTTGGAGAACTAATTCCAGAACCTCGTATGCTTTCTCCAGCGCTGGCGCCGCTGAGTACGCATCCGGGTCAAACAGCAATGAGCGTTCATGTCCTGCGATGTGATTCGCAAATCTGAGTAAATAGGCTTCCCAGATAGGAATGCTGTGCCGTGGTAGGCCGCCTGAGAGACTGACAACCATTATGAAATCACCTGAGTGAAGGCCCTTCTCATGTAACCATCTCACAAGACCAGGATTTCCCGAGACATATGCTGATAGTGGGATACTCGTATCAGGGGCGTCGATTAACGAAATCGAATCCGGATTCGAAGAGGCTAAACGCCAGCGCACGTACTCTTCTTCGCCATATACTATTGCCATATGTAAAATGGACAGCCGGACTCGTATGTTCATTTCCATGGATTCAAGCCTTCGAATGTTCTGGGACCTTACATCTGCTAGCCAGACTGGTATAGATGAGCCACCTGTATTCGAAGGAGTGGGCAGAAGAATTTCGTCCTCCGTCACATTGCCACAGCCGTTCTTCTCGATATATTCAATGTATTTCAGAGGTACTTGGTAACCGTACTTCAACCTCAACGTCGACAAAGTGTCAAAGAAATGTTTATACATATGGAGTATGTCG